CCTCTATTGTAAAAATTGCTGCACCGTGTACGCACACCTAAGCCGCGATGAAACACTTTCAGGAAGGTTTCATTTTATCATTCAGCATAACAAAGAGCATTTGGTGGCTTTCTTTGTTGCCATTCAGCTCAGCCGCTCAGCCGCTCACCTGTACGCTCCTGCGACGCTACTTACGAGGAGATTCATTTGTTCACCTTTTATGCGTTTTTTTACTGTTTTTTTTTTGCTGTCCTTTGCGATTTTTTGCGTTGTTTTTGTATTTTATATTTTCAAATTTCTCACTGCAATATTGTTGTTGGCAGCCAAGCTGCATGGCTTATGTTGTACACTTTTATCCTTGATTCTATTTTAAAGGATTGATGCTCGAGCACACTATAAGTGAGCGAGTGAGTGAGTGAATAGCGAGTAAGTGAGCCAAATTTAAATTGTGCGATAGTGGTTATGTGGCGCAAAAGGTCCTTGAGGTGTACGAGGTACGAGGCACGAGTGTACCTATAGTACGCAGGCGAGGTCCTTGTGAGTAGAACACACACAAAAAACTAAATTTGTAAAGCTTAACTCGCTTTGCGTAGCTGCTGACGCCGCTCGCCCTGTCATCTCTATGTCTCTCTCTCTCTCTCTCTCTCTCTCACTTTCTCTGGAAGTATGTGCCTGTGTGTGTGTCTGTTGGTGAACGCATGTACCGGTCTGTTTGTATAGCCTTTTGACATTTCGTTGACGTTGTGGCAAATTTAGTGGCACTTTTGTAAATTTATTTCACCCGCTTACTGGCCTGTGGAAATGGCTGTTGCAACGTAGCTGCATGACAATCCTATTCTTGTTATTATTTCATTATGGCTTTGAATGGATAGGTGACTGTTTTTTTTGTCTATATATTCTTAGCAGCTATTGAGGAGGAGCGCATTTCTTTCTTTCTTTTTTGTTCCGTTGTTTGACGAACGACTGCTTGAAGTAAGTTGCATTTTGGTTGCGCTTGAGTATTAAAAATACAAATGTCCTTTCGTGTGCGCAGCGAAGGACATCTTAGCTGCTGTGGCCTTTGCACTTAAGTTTCTCTGTGTTTCCCACTGTGTAAACGTAAGTGTGTGCTTAATTGTGTGAACTACGTCGCAAAATGTTAAAGTGTATTGTCATTAGTTGGCTAAGGAGGCAGCATGAATGGAGTGGTGGTAACAATGGTGAACATAATTTTTAATTTCATGCATTCATAATAAAAGAAAAATAGTTATTTATGGTGATCTCAAGGTGTTGTCCATCTCTTGTATTTTCTTTGCCTTGGCGAATTATCTTGAGATCTCATAAATAATTTATTTAGAACGAGACGGGCTCAGAGCGGTATGCAAGTTATTAAAGTTTGAGTCTCTTACGAAATGAGATTTTTTTTAATTCCCTCGACGTTGCTTTAGGCAAATATGCTGCTTTTGAATTATGCATCAGAAAGCTATATATTTTATTATACATTAAAGTCATTCGCTTATAAATATATGGAACTCAATTGTCACTTAAATTGTTCGAGTTTTTCAGTCAGACTGGGATCAGCCGACAATTTAGGGTTATGTGTCGTAAGAGTACGCGTTATTATTCATCATCATCAGTTACTAGTTGCATGCAGCACATAAATATGGTATGTTGGGGCCGATTCAGAATAAGTACGAGTTTAACCTGCTACAGTATCTAGAAAAAAGTTGCGTAAGAGTCACTCAAGATTTGCGAGGCTACTCAAGCTCTTCTTCTGCTATGGGTGATGGTTTGAACTCTAAGAACGCGTTTCACTGAGAGCGTGTTAAGTGCTTGACGGAAGTCCGTTAACTCGGCAGTCTGGTCAGTAAAGTATCGTCGACGAAATCAGAAAATGTCTCTTGACGATACTGGAGGCGTATCCGCTCGAAGCAGATGAAGGGGAGGAGTTCGTAGTGTAGCTTAACTGGAAGCGTACGGTCCTCACTGTGTAGGTGTTTGATGGTAGACAGTATTATGGGAAGTTCAGTATTCTGACAGGTCTGAAGTTTCTTCACGACCATACCGATGCTTGGTAGTTAAGAACAACCTATCGATTGCCATATATGTTGCCAAGAACATTTTTGTGTATTTTTCCTCGTGCTGCCGAATTAAGGGTTTTGTTGCGGCTCGGTTTTCTGGTAATAATCACGGTGGTATGGGGGGAAAAAATACAGGCTGTCGAGTGTAACACCTAAAATTGAAGAGTTGCTAACAGTGGGAATTTCAATGCCATCGATTGCAATATTAAGAACCAGTCTGTAAACCTCTCAATACAGTTCTTACGTCCAGTTCATGAATATGGTCGCTGTGGACCTAGTATGGGAGAGTGTTAAGCTTCTTGCAGAGAAGAAGAGCAAGTTCGGTGAGATAATCGTTTACGGAATTCTCACTTTCTTAATAGTAGAAGCCTTTTGTACACTACCCCACAAGTAATTTCATGATATTTACTGTATTGGCCGTTTTCAAAGACTTGAGTTCTCATATATAATATATGTACATATATCTGGTAACGGTACTTAATTTGCTATGAAATTTCAGATGCAGGTGATAGGCAAAACCTGTTCGCGACGAACGCAATAGCATTATACAATAACATTTTATTGCAAGCATTTTTATTATGAAAAAAAAAAAATGTTGGTTCGAGTTTTTTTGTTTTCTACTAAAATAGTGAGGTTATAGTACTTGTGAGCAGAGTGATTTGTTCAGAATGCATGTCTTTAGCTAGCATAAAGAATTTAGAAGTTAAGGAAAATGTACTCGACATTGTCGTGTGAGCATTAGAGAGATAGGCTGAAGAGCTTTCTTTATGATCGGGTTGTTGCCAAACTTGAACGAAAATACTTGAATTTGAGCAAATGTTTTCAAATTATCATCCAGCTGCCTTCTTCCTAAGATTTGTCTCTCTGCGGCATACTTAGTTAATCATGCGGCTTTCTATTGTGAATGAAGATTGGAACAAACGCCCGACAAAGCTATTAAAGATCAATACACATTTCTATGAAACTTTATAAGATTTTTGGATGTTTATAGCCAACACAGTGTCAATTTTGAATTCACAAACATCGTTGGTATAGTGGATTATTGAAAATGGAGTTAGAATTTAAATTTCTCTAGTCAATGCTCACATTACTCGTCACTGTTCAGTAAAAAACTTATTACATTTTTGTCTAATTATAGTGCCATTGTAAATTATTTTATATTTATATCTCACAAACTAACATTTTTTTCCTCAGTTTTCCTTCCTTTAAGCCTAAATGTAGGCAATACTTCACATTTATACTTTTCGTAATTTCAACTAAGCCATTCACTACATATTATTTGTGAGGGGTTGATCGATTAGGGGTTGATGGATTAAAAATTATAGAACATATTTACACTTGCCATAAGTTCTGTTACAAAGTTTAACAGTATGCAGCGAGAACATATTCGCTGAAAAAGTGTTGTTATTTGCATGCTATGTTTACTTATTTATAATTATCAGTTCAGTGTTTGCTTTCGCTTATTAACAATGGAGTGGGGAGCTAAAAAAATCATATTGCTCAAGTTAAATTTATGTGATTCTCAACAAAAAGAAACACGTCGTGCTTGAAGCAAATTAGACTTAACAAATGCAAGCGACATCTTCAGTGGCTCGCGATACACGGCCAAGAAAGTATGCTTTTTACAGATGAAACAAGTTTCACTGTTGAAGAAGTTTTTAACAAGCAAAACCCCAAAATCTACGCAAAAACTGGGCCAAAAGTGTACCAGTAGGATGCATTAGAAGGCGCGGTAAAAAAGGTAAGCGATACTTACTTCGATGTCGTGCATTCAATCTTCTAGCAAATTTCTGCTTGAGCACAGAAGGCAAAAACCACCCAGCAGTGGCTTTAGAGCATTATTCCTGGTTTCATAACTGAAACTCATTGGACTACAGTTTGTGGTAAGAGTTGAAGAATTTGGCCTGTCGAATATCTCACAGAAATTTCCTGAGTCTCAAAAAAACTTTGGTTCGTGCATTGTCGTCAATGCCATACACAATATGCGTGCTGCTGCTGATAAATGGCCGACTCGTGTGAGGGCTTGTGTGAAAGCATAAGGCGACCATTTCAAATAAAACTGAACTTGTAACAGAACTTATGGCAATACTAATTATAACACTGTAATGTAATTTTAAGGGGACAACTCTCTATAGATAGATATTGAATATGCATTGCCGATAATAAAAATAGGTTGTCGTATTTATATGGAATATATAATGTATTGAATGTGCTCACAACGATATTTATAATAAAAAGTTAATAAAAATATAATTCGAAGTAAAATAAAGCGTGCAAAGTCAACATGCAGTATATACAAGTGCATATGAACGTATGGAGAATGGCGACAAACTGAAACAATACAGAAGAATGCAACAACAAAATAAAAATAAAATTTGAATGTTTATGCAATTCTCACCCAGTTTTGAAATACTTAAAGACAATTTTGCACATACCAGGAGCCACCAAATGAACGTGTGAACCCATGAGTATATACAGGGACACATGTATATGCGCATATGCTACATACATATATACACATTAACGCAACAGCAAGCAACGCACACAAACGCACACATACTAGAACGCCCGCAAATGCTAAGTTATGGAGCAACTTGCAGATTAATTTTATTATTTTTTACTCGATTTTATTTCTCTTTTTAAAACTCTTAAGTTTTACGTGCAATTTTCCGGCACATGTGCGTCTACAACAACAAAAACAGCCAGAACCACAATAATAGCAACAACAGCTATAAACGCAGTTGAAAGTTCATTCTGTTGGCAATCGGCAACAACTTTATACTTCAGACTTGTGTGTGGGGCGCTCGGTGCTTGCAGTTGTTAGTCACATATTTATACACATATGCACATATACATACATATATGGGTATGAGTGTGTCTGTGTTTGTGTGTTTATGAGCATGGCTGGGTGTGTGTGTTTGAGTGTGTGTATGCATGAGAGATCGTTAGCCTTACACGTACCTGCTCTGCGGTCTTGAGTAGATTCTCAATTTCGAAACTGCTCGTACGTGAGGTCGGCTTGGTGGCGACAGCGACCATTTGTGCTGGTGTCGGTTCAACGGATGACGGTGCCGGTGAGCTTTCGGCCTCAGGTGAATATAAATCTTTACCGGTGCCATCTGTAAAGGAAAAATGTATACAAATAAATGAGCATAATGAAGAGATATACATATCTAGATAAATATATACAAACCACATACAAGCAAACACATACATACGTGCATACATTTGTATGTGTGGATGTGTGTGTAAAGTGCGGGTGGTGGCAAATGGACTTTGGAGTTGAAAGCAAGTGGTTGCCCAAAGTGCAGATCTTCGCAAGCTCGTATATATATATTTTTGCCGCTATACATTGGTTTTGTATATACAGCTATATGTATGCTTCGTGCGTATATTTGTAGTTGGGCAAATCTGGCATTGTTGGTCAACGCCTGTGCGCAATGTGTGTGCTGAAAAGTTTCTTTAAATCTCCACAAATCATGAAAATACTACTTAACTCAACGCAACTTAACTTAACTTCACATAATAAATAAAACTTTATAGAGCCGTTAACTTGCCACATGGGATTTGTTAAATATACTACTTAAATAAAAGTTTTTAGTATCAAAACGATTATTTCGTGTATAAACGTAACATGTATTTCTGTTTTTATTATTATTTTTATGTATATATTTTTTTATTGGATAGCAGTATAATCTTTTGGTCTTCTGTTTGTGATTTCACGAAGGTATGAGAACCGCTAATTAATGTTTTCTGTTTAACAACGAACTATGTATATATTATTATTATTATTTTATTTTGGATCTAAAAGAATAGATGGATTCCAATTAACAATAGGTTCTAAAATATAGCTCTAACAAGAAAAAACGTAAACTTCTTCTGAACCGAGGTTATTACACCCTGCGCATTTGCAAGTTCTTCCGAGCCTTATTTTTAATATAAACAATCTTCAAGTCGAATTAAGCTTACTTAATATGAAAAACAGATCTTTTATGAAAATTTTTGTCTTCATTTTCATTAATCAATTTGTATGGCAGCTATATACAATAGTGCTCCGATCTGAACAATATGTTCGGATATTGTAGATTTGCCTTCAATAATAAACTTAATAATAATAATATACCCTGGTCGGAGTATCAATGCTGACTTACGTGTCTCAGTTAATTTCATTTATGAGAGATATAAATAATTTAAATATTAAGTCGTTCACTAAGTAATTTCTGTTATTGGCAAAAAAGCTTTTTCGCAGCTAACTTCACCCTTAACCGCTTTACCGTAATTTATTTGAACAGCTAATATAGTAGGGCATATTTTTTTTAAAATTTTATTGGAATAGTGTTTGTTTAGTGCCCTATCAAAGAAGGAAGATCAAAAACAGCATTTCTGACATATTTTAGAGTTTTTTTTTTATTAAAAGGGTTAAAATGTAGTTCAAGCAAGGCAAAAATTATGTTGTGGGTATGGAGAAGATGTTTTGACCAAACGCCAATGTCAAAATCGGTTTGCAAAATTTCGTTCCGGCAATTTCGATTTTTAGGATGCACCAACGACTGGGATTTGCTTATCAGACGTCAAAGATGTGATAAATTTTTTAAGCGCAATGTAATTTTCGATGAAAAGTGGATTGTTTACAACAATCTCAAGAGCCAGAAATCATGGTCTAAAAGGGTGGAATCAGCTAAACACACTTAGGAAGCCAATGGTCATCAAAAAAAAAATATATATATATATACCTATATGTTGTCTGTTTGGTGGAATTTCAAAGGCATCGTTTATTTTGAGTTTTTTCCCCGATAACACCACGATTAATTCCGAAGTTGAGGTATTGCATCAAAATGGAGAATATATAATTTCATAAAATGTTTTACACAATAAAAAATCGTATTTAAATTGCTTTAAAAAAAGAAATTTCTGAGTGAACCACCAATAGTAGAAGAATTCGAAAGAGCAGAAGCTTAATACCAACGGTTGCTATCAGCTCACTTTTTTCTCTCTCTCGCCAATAGAGCTTGGATCTTCAAGTTTTCTTTAACAATGTAACAATCTGTTATTATATTTTTACATAATTACATAAGCTAGGCTTCAGTTTTTTTTCAGATTTTTTTTTTAGTGTAATCTACCTTCACCATACGCACCTATGCCGTAATCGTCATCACTTGGAAAACAGTAATTAGTTTTGCCTCATATATATTTTACACGCAGCCATACACACATGCCACCGAAGCATTGTAATTACTTTAAAAGTGCGCTGGTGTGCAACTTCCATCCCTTCCAAAGCTAGCACTACTTCCATTTTATTTATTTTCTACTTTATTATTTTCCTACACATAACATACTTCACTTTTTTTGCACTCTTTCTTCTACACAGCTACTCGCGCACCTGCCTGAAATATTTACCAGCAAATATGTGTGCTTGCAACCGCAGCTACAGTGCATTATTTGACAGTCTTCGAGGCGTTGGTATCGCCTGGCGGCGCATTGCCCATATGCCAATGTGCTTTTAGGAGCAGAAGCATTCGCCACTTGCTAGTACATTTTTAGTGCTCCGCAGTTAGTTGCATGTCAGTTGGCGCTTAATGCCGCTTATACAGTTAAGATAAATGCCACATTTCGCCACGCTTAATGATGCCACACCAACTACTAACTCTTCGCCGGCTTGCAACAACTTTAGCGTTGCAACGTTATTTCAGCACGCAGCAAGAAGCTGGGAAGCCCACTTTCTCTTTCTCTCTCTCTCTCCTTCGCTCTCTCTCTATTTAGCTCTAAAAATAGCATATGCTCGTTTGTGTGTGTGTGTGTACTCATATGTATGTGTGTTGCAAGCACTTCTGGATAGTTGGACGAATATGTTTACCGCTGAATTTGTTGCATTCTTGCATGCATGTAAATAAGTGCACCGCATTCAACTTAGCGTTATTTTAAATTTACGCTCATTCGTGTGTTACTTATTTAGCATGTTTAGTTGTAATTTTAGTATTTTTTATTTTTGCGTGAGTAATGCACGTAAATAACGGTGTTAAGTTGGAGAAGTTTGTCAGTGAAATGTTGTTCGAAAAGGAATTTTAAGCAATTTATTTTTTTATTATTTTTTTAAAAAGCCCAGAAAGTTATGTTTCTTCTACAAATTCTTTAATTTATTTGTCGAAGTATGACCCATCTAGCAGAAATCGTGTTGTATGATCTTCACCGATCAAAATTGTAATTCAATCTTCAAGGAAAGAATTTACTATTTTTTACTATTTTGTTAGGCTGCTAACATTCAGGATGTACATAAACTTCAATTACAGCTTGGCAAAAGTGGTTTTGCTTAGGAAAACCAAACGGTTTATTTTTCAACTATATTTTATTTCAACTCAACTCACACAGTTGTCATTTTTACAACTTTTTTTAATTTCCTTTTTAAATAACCACTTTTTCCAAGTTTTGAAATATACTTCTATCAGTGAAAATCGTTGAATTGCACCAAAATATTCTCCAGCCAAGACATTTTTCCAGTTGTTGAGCAGAGAATAGTTGTTGTAGAGTACACTTAACACTTTTTCACTAAAAATTAATTTTTTTTTCTACAATTGTTCATATACTTGTAAATATGCAAGCTTTCCCAAGTACTTTGAATAATATATATCGGCAATTATTTTACCGTTTTCAATAACCTTATATTTTTATGTTTAGAAACGAACATACAACGTACATTCTAAATTACTATTGTATTTTTTAACTTGTCCTGACACTTTCATAATATACAAGTACATTAAAACAGGTACGAAAGCGGCATACTAGAACATAAAATATTTAATCCCTGAGTACACATCTTCCATAAAAGCCTCCCAGCATTTTGTTTATACTTTAGTACTTATGAAATTTTTCTTGCTAAAATAATTCAGGAGCGCTCATAGATAGATAGATTCCCATAGAAATAAGTGCCTAAAATTTTAGACTTTGTTCAAAATATTTATAATTTTGAGATCTCGGGTTTATTTATTTAAAGAAAATAGAAAGAATGCAAATGGTAAAAGTTAAAACCATGGCTACTAAGCCAAAAATGCAAAAATAATTGCATTTCATCACTATTAAATGGGTTAGTATTCAATTTCGGGGTCCCATTATGGCCATTTTGACAAACGGTGTGAGTTCCATTACGCTTCGTGATCGTGTGGGCCATACGTGAGCTCGGAGGGGGCATTCTCCTTATGCAGTCATAAAAGAACGAGTCAGCGTCTTGCCTTCAGTAAGTCAAGGTGCGTGGCTCGTTTCGCACCCACAGCTGGAAACCTTTCCGGCGAACAATTTTCAATATTGTCTAGAAGCTTACGAGTTAGTAAATAATATAATACTAGTATTCATTATTTGGCACGCACAACTACAACCATTGAGGTCAACTGCTAGCTGTAATCTAAGTTCATAGCAGATTTGCGATGGGTTTCAGAAGACTTGTCAGTAAGTAAAGTTTCAACAGATTTTCAGAAGTTTTTTGCAAACTCAAAGGGCTGGTCCAAGTATGATTTCGCAATCAAGAATTTGAGACCTAAAAAATCTTGGATTCACACAGCAAATGGTGGTCCACTTTAACTAAAGAAAATAAGAAATATGCTTCTTCTGATCGCATTTATTGTTTCCAGCGTGTCATTTTAGCTAGCCAGATTATTGCTTTAATCTGACAAAAAGTTAATTGAGCACTGAAATGCAATAAGATTATGTAAAAGCTTTATTAAAAGACGCAGTTGGTGTCCTTGCGCTAAGCCGGAACTATGGATGAATCAATATTTTACTGAATTCATTACCAAGACACTTAAAGTTTCATTAAATTTCTATAACAACCTAAGTAAATACAAAGCTTCAGCGATTAATCAATGTGGGAAGTTATATTTAGTTAACGGCTCTACATGGCGTATAAGTGACATATTTGATAGCGAACTATCGGAGTTCGCATGATGAATGAGTAACATAGAATTTTCATAATTAAAATTTGTTGGAAATATTTGGCTCTCATAGTGAGCTCCCTATATTTAGGTAGTAGAACAGCAAGTTTCTTCATATTATTAATTTATTACTATTAATCTTAGGAATTGTTACAATATTTCTTTTAACTGTTGCTGATTTGTTGTTTGTTTGAGTTGACTATTTCTAAATATTTTTAGTTTACTCGTATAAATAAAAAACTACTAATCAAATAACAATTTTTTTTTGGTATGCTTATCTACTGGTACACTCTTTTGTTATGCATATTTAACCTATTGATTTTTTAATCTTGAGCTTTTAGACCAAACCCTTAGCCATTAATCCACTCTGCCAAACTACTATTTGCTTTTCGAAAATTTACGCATACCAACTTTTTACTATGTTTCCTACGCTAATCCCGTCTGCTAATCAAATATTGATTTTTGAATCATCAAAAAGTGTATACTCGTATATGTATATGTACACGTAAGCCCACATAAATATGGTACATACATACTCACACACATAGTATAAATGTGCATACGTATTGGTTATTCCACTTTGACCAACAGTTCGCTGAAATTTTAATGAATACATTTTCGCAATTTCAGCGAATTACTGCTGGACTTAACACAATCAAGGAGCATAACGCCACCCCTCTTAGCCAGCCGGCTGCAGCGCAAATCGCACACAGCTTTCACGGCGTTGCCAGCTGATGCAGCGCTAACCGAATTTACTGCCGCGCTGCTATTTGATGTTTGCTGCGTGAAAGTACACTGCTGGCTATAAGTTTTTATTTCGGTGTGTATGAATTTGTTTGTGTGTGTGTGTAAATCTATATGTGTGTGCGTTTGCGAGCGCGCGTCATTTTATTGCAACTTCATTGCACTTTGACAGTTGACATATTTTTAATCTATTTATGCAAGCAGCAAGCGAATAAGCCACGTCACTATAGTTGCGGCAACATAGCACGCATAAGCTGGGAAAACACAAGCACACACACACACAGACATAGCATATATATACATATATATTTATATAAGAGTTTGCTTGGGCGTTTCATAAATATTTTTATAGCTAGTTTATATATCTTTTTAACCATATATATATATAGATATATATATTTGTGCATTATTGTTTGTATATTTGTACTTACTCCAACCTGGCGCCGGCACGATTAAACCGGATATCATCTCCTCGCTCATTACGGGCGGATCCGATGGTGGCGGTGGACAAACCAATGAATCAATCATGTCATCAGTGACGCGCATAATGCCAACTAGATCTGGTGGCTCAGTGCGTGATGAGCTGAAAAATTGCAAAAATTGCAAAGCATTAAAAAAGAAGAATGAAGACTTTAAAATAGTTTTATATGCAGCGGTAGATCTGTTTACGTATAGAGTGTGAGTTTATATTTATAAGCGAACGAGTTAATAGATGCTAGTTTGCGAGAGTGTAACTTGATGTGGTGGCGATGCGCGGAGTTAATAATATATGATTAGTTGTGGTCATTTTCTTAAGTAGCTCTTCGATATTTATAGTATATATTTTCCAAAGTGTGAATCACCCATATGTCCTGTTTTACCATAACAGTATAAGTAATACAGGGCATATGTGTGATTTATATATGTGGCTGTTTCTCTTTAAATGTGTAATATAATGCTAGAACAATGCGTAGAACAGGGCGTATGAGTAATAAACATTTGATACTCGAAGGTGAAATTACTCATACGCCCGCCATTACCTTAATAGCTTTCATTGCAGTAAAGCTAGTAAATGGCGCTGGAGTAAATACATATTCTAGTGTTGCCTCTTTTAATGTACAATACAGGTAATGCTAATAAGTAACCCATGGCGTATGACTAACGAAAATATCATATTCAAAGCGAAATTACTCATACGCCCGCTATTACCTTAATAGCATTCATTAGAGTAAAGGGAGTACATGGCGTATGAGTAACATATAATAGATATTCTGGTGTTTAGTCTTTGAAAGTGCATAATAATGGTAATAAGTGGCCCAAGCCGTATGAGTAACAAGCATTTGATACTCGAATGTGTAATAACTCAAAGAAATAATTTTAAATTAATTTTATTATTTAAAAAATAAAATATTAAAACGCGTTAGTATAAATGTGAATGATGTAGATCATAATTTCTTTTTGAAATCCGAAAAAAATTCTGTGTATTTGTACCAGGGTGATAAATAAATAAAAATTATATTATTGTTATTTGGACATCATTCAATCGAAAGTAATTTTTTAAGGTAATTTAAAAGTATCAATAGGTGGGTCCAACAACTTTAGGAGAACTATTTTTATACATTCCGTGAAATTTTCAACATTTAGGGGTGAAAATTATCCGAAAAGTTTTCTAAATCATAAGAGCAAATACATTTTAATTTTTGTAAGCAAATTCTAAAAATATTATTATAATAATTTAGAATGCCGAACTTACTGCTATAATTATAAAAAAATTTAAAAAATTGCTGACTGAAGTAGAAAAATTATGATATCAGTAGAAAAAGTGGGAGTTTGTCAAATAGGATTTAGAGCGATTGAATCTAGGTATATATTCGTCGGCTTCAAATTTTGAAAATTTTCATCTAATACGAAAAAAAACCAATTTTATTTTTAATTCAAGCATTTTAAACTAAGCATGTTTCAATTATTATATTGATAATTATATTAAGACAAAATTTTATTCTTCGATTTCACTTCTAACCAGATTTTAGACGATTGCGGAGCAAACTTGCATTAATTCTCAAAATCTTTCTAAAGAAAATTTTTAATTTATTTATCTTTTATTAAATATTTACTTACTTTTATAAAGGATTTTTAAATACTTTTAAAAAGGATTGATTTCTAAACAATTTATTAGGGTTGCGACTTAGCTAATATATATTATATAAATTCCAGCCTTAATGTAGGCAACATTTTTTCCTGCCATTAAAATTGTGGGTGTTCAGTCAACAACTGCGCAGTGGACCTTTCGCTAACGGATTACTTTTGCTTAAAGTTTTTATGCAGCCAGTGCATTCGGAAAAAATTAGCGTTTATATAAAATGTCAGAGTTTCTGACATATCAACTTTGTAACTCAATTGCTTTGTGTGACTGCGTCTGTTACAATTAATGAAATAACAAAAGTAAGTTAATTTAAACAGCAGAGCGTCAACTAAAGTTATGCACAAAAAATTAAAACACAATTACAAATTGCAAATGCTTCAATTAGATTTCTTGCGGGCAATAAATTACTTTCGAATACCAGAAAAAGCAGAAAAAAGTGAACGGGCAACGGGCAAAATGTATAGCTCGAAAAAGCAGTAGCTCATTTCCATTTTGAAATAGTTTCCTTGTTCAATTTGCGTTTGTATTTTCCAGCATATTAATTTTTTTTGCATATCATGTACTTTAATTATAAAATAAGTGCCAGCGAGTGATTTACTGATAAAAAAATAACAAGGTTATTAGTGTGATAAAAACAGTAAGCCAATGGCTTTAACGCAGCTGGCTTATATGTGTGTAGTTAGTTAACAAATTCTGGCGAAGTGAAAGAGCAAGCATGCGGGGTATTAAAAAGTGTTGCGGGAATGTTAACATTTGTACAGCTATAGACGCTTTGAGCTTTGTATGAAACTAAAGGCAAAGAGCGTTGAGGCTCAATTTGTATATAGCGGCTTTGTCACCTTGACTATTGGCTGGTTTGATCTAATTTACTTTTCTATCTACTTATTTGTTTTTTGTTTGTTACATCGGATATTTGACACACTTTATAAAAATTAAGGAAGAACTCTCTATTCTATGCAAAATTAGAACTTCTTCTAAAGGCGAGTTGAACATGTTCCTACTTTCTTATTCCAACTTATTGCTTCTATTAGTTAGCTAAACTTTGAACTCATACTCTCTCGCAGGTTGTATTAAAGTCTGTATATGTAATTAAAAATTGTGTGTGATTTCTAAGTTTGTAAGGTTGCTGTTTGTATAATGAGATAACTGTGTCATTTTACAGAAAAATACTGAGCTAATTAATAAAAGGAGAAAAGTATACATATGATGGTATAGAACTAAGTTTTAAACTTCAGTGACTTAGCTTCAAAGCTCATTTTATAGGTTTGTTATTATGATACTTATTGCTATAAACTATACATTTTTCTTGCTCAAAGTAGCCGCAAGCACTACCAACTTGACATATATTTTCAGAGACTCACAATCTTCAAGAGATGCAATAACAATTGTTGCAAGTTGTTTTTTTTTGTATAGAGTAAGGTATAAGTTCACAAAAGATTGGGGAGAATGGAAGTGAAACAAAAACAAAGAAAAACAAGAAACTTCGGTTGCACGAAAGCTAAAATACCCTTCTCAGATGCATTGCATAGCATAAAGGCGTGTAAAAAGATCTTAAGCTTGATTTTAGTTGGTTAAATTAGTTTATACTGCTGGATGCTTTGGTAATCCGATAATTCATTAAAATAAGTTGATTTTGATCGCTCAGTTTGCATGCAGCTATTATCTACAATGCACCGATATAAGCGATTATGACATATACGCAATTTTTCTGAGAGACAAGGCCGTGCGCAAACTTTAGATCGATATCTCGAACACTGCGGGACTAGTTCACATACATATGTATATACAGACAGACGGACATGGCTACATCGACGCAACTCGTCACGCTGATCATTTATACATATATGATTAAAGTGTCCGATGTTTTCTTCTGGGTGTTATTAATTTCGTGGCAAACTTAATATCCCTGTTCAGGGTATACATATTCTTATGTCAATAAGTATGGTGTTGCTTTCATAAGGACACGGAGTAAATACTTATTCTATAGCCTTTCACCATGACACATATTTAAGTAAAAAGAATCGTGTATATGGAACAGAGAAAAAAATAACTAAACAAACTTTCCCTGCATAGACTGTTGGCGATTTGTTACAATGAAATGTTTATAAACTGAAAAAAACAAAATATGTATGTCGCTTCGATGGTGATAACTGATACGCAATGAAAAATTTCATGATTAATAAAACTATTCTAAATGTAGCTATGAAAATTTTTTCATTTCACATTTTTATCAAATAAATAAATTATTGAGAAATCTAAACGGGTGGCAACTTTTGAAAATGTAGAAGTATATTCAAACTGTAGCTTGTTAAAACTTCTTTGATTTTTTATTGAAATGGTGTGCTTATTGTATTTTATCATTCAGTATTCATTTTATGGCATTACAATTTTTAAACAGGTGGTAACCTAAAAAAAAAACGTATGGAACCTTGAAGTCTTTTAAATTTTCTTATTTCATATAGATATTTTTTTATTAAAAATTGTCACCAATAATTTTAAAATAGTGATATTATAAATAAATTGCCTCATGCGCCGTGTATACGATAGAGAGGTAGCAAAAATACTTCGCATCCCTAATTATTAATTATATATATATGGAAAAATTACGTGTCAGATTTATTTCGGTATGAGATCCTTTTATACCGGCAATAATGTTCTCGCCTTTATTCGTAAATAATATTTTCACTGTATTGAATAGTTAATTATAGTAGTATTTAATGTATACCAAAGTCACAGCAAAGCGTGGGTGGAACTACTTGTATACATATATGTACTCGTATATTTTAATTGATGCTATACTCACAATTGAAGCGTGTTGGTATCAGATTTTTACTACTCGTAAAATATTTGAATCTGTTGTCAAATTAATGTCGAGTAAAAGGAAAGAAAGAGTTGGTTGTTAAAGATACTTATTATGTTTTGGTTAACTTTTCTTTTTGTTCTCCTAAATCAATAATGAATTTTGAAGCATAAATCGATTATGTTAAAAGAAGAAAAATAACCTAGAAAGGTTTTTGGTCCAAATAAGACTATTAGTTGAGGTCAACAAACAAAATTTATTTTTGAGGGACACACCTAGTGTGAAATATTTCTTGAAATTAATGTTTATTTTTTGCATATTTGGTTAGTTTAAACTTTCAAAAATACTATACTAAAATTTTAAATGAATATTTCAAATACTTTTTTAGTTATAGGCTTCTATTGGGTAGGCGCTCAGTAAAATCATTCTCTCAATTTATTTTTAAAAGTGTTTTTCTCGAAACGGTTCGTTTTCGCATTCGCTTTAGTGATTACTCGGTATCATATGATGCGATCACTATAAAAACCTGTATTAAACTTGTTGTTATTATTAAAGGTCTCAGTCTTATTCGTATGGCTACAATTTTAATCGAAAAAATTTTAATTAACTCAGTTTAAAATTGAAGGTAGAAAAGAAATAGTGTAATATGAAGCTCACTAAA